TCCTGGCTTATCTGGCCAGGGCCACAGGGTTCCTGGAAGAAGCTGCTGCAGAGAAAGGGAACAGCAGAAGTTGATGTGGAATAGAAACTCCTCTGGCCTCTTTCACAGCAGGGCCCAGAACATAACCCCAAACCTCAGGTTCAGCAAGGCCAAGTGCCAGGTCCTGCACTTTGGTCAAGTGAGGTCAACAACCTCATGCAGCACTACAGGCTTAGGTAACAGTGCCTGGAAAGGGGCCCAGTGGAAAAGGACCTGGGGGTGCTGGGTAAGAGCTGACAATGAGCCAGCACTGCCCAGGTGGCCAAGAAGGCCTAGGGCATCCTGGCCTGTATTAAAAATAGTGTGGCCAGCAGGGCTAGGGCAGTGATTGTCCCTCTGTACTGGGTGCTGCTGGGACCACACCTGGATGGCTGTGCCCAGTGCTGAGCCCCTCACTACAAGAAAGACATTGAAGTACTGGAGCATGTCCAGAGAAGGGCAATGGAGCTGGTGAAGGGTCTGCAGAGGAAATCCAGTGAGAGTGAGCTGGGGGTAGTTTAGCCTGGAGAAAAGGAGGCTTGGGGGAAACCTTATTGCTCTCTGCAACTACCTGAAAGGAGCTTGTAGTGTGGTGGGGGCTTGTCTCATCTCTTAGGCAACAAGTGACAGCATAAGAGCCTCAAGCTGTTCCAGGTTCAGGTGGGACATCAGGAAGAATTTCTTCACTGAAGGGGTGGTCAGGCATTGGAATGGGCTGCCCAGGGAGGTGGTGGAGTCACTGGAAGTGTTCAAGAAATAACTGGACATGGCACTAAGTGCTCTGGTCTAGTTGACAGCCAAAGGTTGGACTCAATGATCTTAAAGTCTTTTCCAACCTTTATGATTCTGGTTTTGTGCTGGTTAGTAAGGGTACCAAATCTCCTCTATGGCAACTGCAAGTACAGCTTTGCTCCAGCCTCTGCAGACAGGTTTCTAAAGCAGCAGTTTGTGGGTGAGGAGAGAAAGGAAGCTGGGGAGCAGGAGGAGGAAGCAGCAGCCCTCCCCACCAGCTGTGCTAGACGTGGCATGTCTCTCTGCATTCCTACATCTCTCTCTGCATTCCACATCCCTGCTCTTTTTGGCCATGCTGTGAATAACAGAGGGACCTCACTTAAACAGACAGCAGTTTGTGGCAAAGGAACTGCCATAAAAATAACTTTGGAAAACAAGACTCAGCTCTTCGGCTTCAGCAACCAGGACTTCCTAATGTGGTTGAAAACCATCCGAAAACCTCATGATTTCTGTGGTTACCACAGCAGTTCCAGCAAAGACCTTGCACAGAGGTCATCCCATCCCCTCTGCCCTCCCATGCACGTCGGTCTCTCGTTTGCTTTGATTGCGCCACTGTCCTTCCTCAGACAGGTTTGCAACACTTCCCTACCAAGGCCACCTCTCCCACTGAGAGGAGGAACAACTAGGATGCAACCTTTTAGGAGAAAGCATGATAAATCTCAGGTTCATGACTGCTGCATGTCTGGCATACATCACAAGAAAACAGACTATGGTGACATCGAGTCCATCTGGAATGCGGATAACTTGAAATTAAAACATTCAACATCTGTCTGAAAGAATTAATCCAGAAGCTACAGTAAGTCATGAAAGCAGAAAAGAAAGGGAAATGAGACAATTTGTTTTGTTTACAGTGCCCAGGTCTGAGAATACCAAATATTTACAAATAACTCTTCCTTTCTCCCTGCCCAACTTCTCTGTAGGAAGTCCTGTAAAAAAGGCCCTAAAAGAGCCACACAGGCAAAAAGGGCATCTTGTTTTCATCATATTCAAACTACATTTCTACCTATTGTCTCTTGACAATAACCATAAAAACAATTTTTCAATTGAGTAGTGGGGTTTACTTTCTCAGAAGATTTTCTGTGAGAGGGTTCTGCTTTATGAAGAAAATGTAGGGGTTTTATTAATCTTTTTTTTACCAACAGGAGTAAACCACTGAAGCATCTGCCATGGATCAGTGCAGGGGAGGCCTCCCATCCCCAGCTTGCAAAGGGAGGGGAGGACTCTGTTTTCAATGCTGCTTGTGTTCAGAACCTTGCCAGCAGGGAGGGAGAGGACAGGAACTACTGACACCAGCTCCCAGCTGGCATTTCCAAAATGAACAGCCTAATTTTCTGTCTGGCATTACACTGGAAAATCAATGTATTTTTCATGGGAAAAATTGAAATTCTTTTTCTAGCCATGAACGTGGGGGCAGTACCCCTCAGTGCTCTTAGTGATTCAGGCACGTGTAATGGCCATATTCATCCATAGTCAGTTTTACATCCTCAGTTCCATTCCTTTCTTGATAGCTGTGTACATCCCATCAGGCTTACAAGACACCCACCCACTTGACTGAGTTTGGTTCTGCCCCCCAGATTGCCACAATTAACTATTTTTGAGAGTACTGACATGCAGTAGGCAGCAGAGGATTGAATTTTGTTCTTTCTTTTGAGAAAGACAAGCAAACAAACAGCTCTATAATGAGACTTCAGAGGTATTATCCCTACTTCATTCAATTTTCTGTATCACTGTGTTCCTGTCCTGGAAGGGCAGACACATCTGCAATTCTTTCAGTCACCTGTATTTTTCTCTCACATCTGCATTTCTCTCTCTAGTGAGACAAGTTACTTTTCAGTTGAAACTAAATTTCCACACGTTCTGTAAGTGACACTTCTAATTAAATCTTCCTCATTTATATTCCCTGCTTTTCCTTGGATTTTAGGAAGCAGAGAAACACAAGATGGTCTCTAAGGGTATTTTTTTTTCTGTTGTCAGAAACACTGCTGATTTTCTTTGCTCAGAAAGTCAGCCTTTTACAAAATCACCTAATTTTGCCTAGTGGAAGCTGTTTTGCTTACAGAAACCCAACCAATTACCAAAGCTAACCATAGCCATGGGTGCATTTGTGGACAGGGCACTCAGAGCAAAAAAACACATGAAACTAATTTGAAGTAAAAACAGATGTACTGATCAAGAGATATACAAAGCAATACTCCTTTAAATATTTTCAGCAAAATATTTTTTGCATGGCACATCCCTGTATTACATAACCCAACATACAACCTTTTTATTGCAGTCTTTTTATGCCCTACACCATGTATGTGGATTAACAGTAAAACTAAATAGTCTGTTTAGAAAACAAAATCTCACAATGCCAACCAGACAGTTTGTGGTGCCATTTCTCCTTTACTGACACGGCCTGTGCTTCAATCTACAATTTAATGTCTGCAGAAGGAGAAGGAAAGTGTGCTCCCTTCTGTGTTGGTCATGAAAACCAAATTATTTCCATATTAAACTGTTAGTGGGAATGTAATAAATGTTGATAGTTTTGCCTGAAACAATAAGGAAAAACAATAAAGAGGCTGTGGAAAGACATTTTTTCATGGATGCCTCAGCTCTGATTGATTCCACTTCAGCCAGTTAAGCATAGAGATAAAAGATGCTGTTGTGCCATCAGCACTCACTTGTTTCCAAAGCAGTTGGACAAATTCACAGAGGAAAAACCCAGGGAGAACATTAAAGGCAAAGGCACCACAGTTGCCACTAGCAGACACCTGGGCCACAAGCTGCTGGCATCTGAAAAAACATTGCTTTGTGTTTGCTGGGTTTTAATGCTGCTACCTTGGCTAACAGCAGGTCAGCCAAAAATCTCCTTGCCCAACAGCTCCTACGTTGGCCAACAATTTTAGCCTGGTCCAGTATAGCCACCTGCACATTTCAAAGGATTTTCAACTACTTTGGGCACTGGCCAGCTCTGGGAAAACTTTCTAGGGAAGCAGGACCTTATCCTTCACCCTAACCTTGACTTCTACTTTCAGAAAGACTGGGTTTTAATTTATGCACAAGACACTGAACCATTTCAGTGCAGGGCTCCTTGTGCCTGCAAAAGCAATTGCCACAGTCCTAGTGTGGACTGAGTGGGATTTTGATGGAGTTGTGCTCCTCCACCACAGAAGGAAACCTCAAGGCCAGCTCTTCCATCACAGAAGGAAATCTCAAGGCAGACACTTCAGACTGGTCTTTGATCATCCCCAGTATATGTAACCATAAAAAGATGAGCTAGCAGCATCAATTCCTAATTCACTGGGATGATGTTTCACAATACATCCTCATTGGTACCCAGAACATGGCAGGTTATGCCCAGGGCTGGGGGAGGAGCAAAATAAAGACAAGGACTGAGCTACTTCATGAAGCACCTATCAAAGTCCCAAGCACTTCTCTGAATTATTTAGGTACTTGCCAAAAATACCAGTGTTCTGCTTTCAAAAGAAAGATGTCATGATTTTTTTACACTGCCAAGTCTCTTAAATTTTGTATTTTTTGAGTGCAGGGATGCAAAAAGAGGAATAAAGACCAACTTACCCAGCACCTTGCATGCCCCACATCACCCATCTACCCCAGCATCAGGAAGCTCTGAGTTAAAAATTCAAACCCCAACTTTCTTCCAAATTCAGCCTCCTATAATCTTCTCTTTCTGGTCGAGCTTTGTAGTGACCCAAAACACCATTTTTCACTCTTGTGTTTTTCATGTACCACTGCTGCATGCTAATAAACACTTCTCCTGGGTGCTTCTCCTGGCCACTGCCTTCAAATAGAGGCTCTCAATTGATGTTAGCAGGAATTAGAACCAGCTGGAAATGACTTTTCAAAAGTCAAGCATCTCATTTAAAACAAAACAAAACAAAGCAAATATCCCCTGAAAAAAAAATTCCCACAGCTAAGGAGACTTGCATTTTGTTTTGCCTTCAGCACAAAGCATTTACCCTATTAGATTTTCCATGGGCTTTTCCCTTCAGATGATCCCACTGAAGAAGTATCTGATGAAGGTGACCCTGTTCTTCCAAAGGACGGATGCAACAGAGCATGGATCTGATAGACCTCAATATGGATGGCTTAATTAACACCAGATGTCCCTTTCATGGGAGGAATATTTGCTATGAAAAAAATCTCTGATGAGATGCTGGTGGTATTTCCTAGCAGCCAACACTTACCTCCGTGCTGTGTGTGTATCTCCAGCAGGCAGCTGGGATCAATCCACAAAAGGCCAGAGCAAAACAGAAAAATCCCTGAGGATAAAGAGGAAAAATACCAACAGTTACAGTCTGGGGAGAAAAATACCCATTTGCAAACACAATCAAGACATATTTAATATGCTTGTTTAAGCAAGTTTCATTAAAGTTTAAACATCACCTTCTTTTAATATCCCTCATAATATCAGTTACTTAAAAGAAATTAGATGGAAATAATGTTCTCCATCAGGAGCCCTCTAATTACACTGTGGCAAATTTAAGAGTTTGACCAAAAAACCAGGCAGCTTCCTGCAGAGCAGTTAATCTATTCTGCCCAGATTCCTCTTGGACAAAGAAAGGTATAAAACATTATATTTACAGTATGCTTCCCTTCTGCTGCAGGACTGTGCTCCATTATCATGGGATTCAATCCCCTGCATTTAAAACTTGGCTATTGGTTTCAAAGAGGGGAAAACCCACACAAATAGTCCATAAAGAAGGAAATAACTGGGACAGAGATAGAAATCAACCTGCTCTGGAAGAAGAGCTGGACTTACTCTGTGAGCAAGGTGGCAGCTGCACGGCCGAGCTGCTTTCCTTAGATCAGCACCATCGTAGTTAGACAACAGGATGACAGAAATATAATCAAGGCCAGAAACTGACCCTGAAGTGTCTAAACAATAACAGCAACGATGCAGGACATGGCTTGAATTTTGTCTTCTTCCTTAGGCTTGCAGAGCTGGAAGTTACATGCTTTGTGTTTTTATTTGAACAAATCTGGACCAAAAACCACACACCCTGATATAAAAAGCACTCGCCTGCTGTGACAGCTGGACCAAATGATCTTGTTCACATTTAAAAGAAAAAAAAAGGAAGGGAAAAGTGCCTGTAAAGCTTTTGAAGGCTAAATGGGCTCATCCAATATGAATCCACAGCTTAGTCTTGGAATGACAAAAGGTGATGAATAAGCATCGGTTGAAAATTAATGCCCTTACAAGTTTTTCCATTAAACTGTGCCTCTTTCAACACAACATTATGTGGGAAACTTACCCAGCTGACTGCATCTTATTTTGGTTTCTAATTTTTTCTATGACTGTTTTCATTGTATGATATAGTTGAAATAACTTGGAAAAGTTTAAATCTTTCACAAAATTTTACCAAATTCAAGCTTAAGAGAGGAAGAACATTGCTTCTACCAGTTCTTCACAAAAAAAAAAAAAAAAAAAAAATTGCTTAAAAGATATAGTTAAAAAAAAAAAAGGCTCCAAACTCATGCATAAGCAGCAAGAAAGGAAAATGTGTTACTTCAAATCCTGGAAATGAAAGTGAATGTGCCAGTAAAATCCTTGGCTGGCTCTTGTCCATCTGCTCTGTTTCTCTGCCCTGCCTGGGGACTTTGCTCCTGGAACAAGACTGCCACTGGTATTCACCACTTTTTTGGGGCTGCCTTGTTTCAGGCTCTGCCTCAGACACTGGGGAAAACCCTGGTACAGCTCTTACGAAAAATCTTAAATTATGCATGTCCAGTCTCTCCTTTCATTTATTTTTTTGGCAGCTGCCTGGCCATATAGCTGATGAGATCACTCCTTGCCTTGCTAGGAGCTAAAATGAGATTACCCAAGACCCTAAAGGAGATGAGAGGAAAAGTCTGATCAAACACTGACGTGACAAGGTGGTTACAAGTCATGAAGATATGGAAGAGTGTGCAGGGCAAGATATCTCAGACCAAAACCCAGCTGGAGTGCTGAAGTGGGGGGTTCAACCCTGCAGGTACAGCACAAACTGGAGGGAGGAGGTGAGGTTACACAGGCATGTCAGAATGTCCCTCAGTAGGACCAGACCCTGCATTTTGCAGTGCCTCCAACAACTTCCCCACCAAACAAATAGCATTTTCACCAAAATCAAGTTCAAAGACAAGAAAATTTTTTAAAAAAGAAAATTAGTCAGATGGAAAAACCAGCACTGATAGCAATTGTGACCACTCTTCCACATATCATTCCACTAAAGTTATAATTCAGGAGACCCACCATGAACCCGGAAAGTGTGAACAACAGGATGCCAGTGACAACCCAGATTCCTTCCCCTGTACTCTCCCTTCCTTCCCCACCAGCTCCAGCACTCACAGCATCTCTCTGGGGCCAGCACCCACAGCAGATAAAAATCCTCCTTCTCATCTTCCCTTCCTCAGCTCCACCCCACATCTCAGTCCTTCAGCATCAGCTCTCCCTTTATTTCTGTCTGGTTTCTCTGGGAACACTAAGATGCAGCCCCCTGGGAACCTCCCCCTCCATCCAGCTGGTGCACAGCAATTACATGGCTCCGAGAACATCTTATAAATGAATTATAGCCTGCTTTTTCCCTTCCCAGCCAAAAGGCTTTTGGAAGAGCAACTTTCCAATTACATTAGAAGACATTTGGAAGAAAAAAGAAAAAGGCAACGTGCAGTTAGCATACAAAATGTGGAAGGGTTGAGGCTGGTTCACCATCTCCCAGACCCTTGGAGCTCCTCAGAGCCAGCCACAGGCTCTTGCTCTTCCTTTGCAAGAGACAGCCACATCAGCCCTGTGGAGGGCTGTCACCAGGCACACATAAATTACTCTTTTATGAATGACCTTGCTTCCATCCTTGCTGCAAGGAACAATTTCTCTTTGACAGACTTGGCAGAATCCACAGGAACAGCACCCTGTCTGTTGGCTGGTGCTTCTTTTCATTCACCTTTCTGATGCTTCCCCTTTGGTGAAGGGGGCCTGCTTTGGATGAGGGAGGGATCCTTTAGCTCATACTGTGCTCTGTAGCTGTGTCCTGCCAAGCTCCCACACTTCCAGGGAAGGAGCAGACCTCTGCCCTGCTCTGCTCCAGCTGTGTTTTGGTGCTGCTGTGGTCATTGCAAAGGCCAACTCCCTGCCAGACTGCAGAGCCCAAGGGCAGGGGAAGGGGGGGCAAACTTCAGATGGCATCCATCAGGTTGTGTCCCTCTCTGCCTGACCTAGTTCATCTAAAAGCATGCAATGTTTTTGCCCTTCCACAGAGCAAACACGAGTCAGTGACATCAGTCCGAAAGAGGAATCTGTCCTTGGTACCGGCTCTGCCACTGGGACACAGATGCCTCACCCAGAAGTGCTGCACCATGAGAGAGAGCACCCAAGGCAGATTAAATTAGAAAGGAAGAGGCTGAAGTGTGCTGCAGTGGCATTAAGGGCCCTCTACACACTGGCCTACACCTGGGTATATAATAAAGCAAACAGCCTGTGCTGTGTGCTGCCCCTACTAGCTCATCAATCTTGATGAAAAACTGGGTTATATTGGGCATTCACTGAGGCTTTTTCCACTGCATTTTTTGGGAACATCTGCTCCATCCTGATCACAAATGTTCCCCTGTACTAGTCAGGTTTCAGACTGTAAAGTTCAGATGTGTGAATTTCAGCTATGTTGCTCCTTGTTTTTTTTCTTTTCTTTCTCTTTATCAGTCTGACCAGGTAACAATACATGGTGCTTTAAACCTCAATGATACCAGAGTCTTTCCTTTATGCAAACAGGAAAACTGCTGTTTTCCTTCCTTTTCCTTCCCTTCAATAGCAACACGGCCTCCAAGGGCTATAAAGCTGCAGGATATTTACATTCAGGATTGACTGCATGATGGTCCATGGATCACCAGAAAGCAGAGTTTGCCTGAGCGGGAGGACAATCAATAAGCCTGTTGCTATTCTCCCTGTTTAAGAGGAGCTTTAGGTGTAATACTGCTGGATTTTAGCACATAATTTTTTATCCTTAAGTTCTCAATTACTTTCTTGGAACCAGCTTCTTCACAAGCAGCACTGGATGCACAGTAGCATCTGTCTGGTCTCATGATGCTGCTAATGCAGCTAGAAGACAATCTCCTGAGACCTGTGTGCTTAAACCAGTTTGACCTGTCTTGGTTTCTAACCACTGTGCACCCATTACTATTATTAGAACACCACCAGCAAGGCCTGCAAAGACCAGAGACTCCTCCTCTGTAGGCACACAAACCTCCAGATAACCAGGCAGCATGACGATATATAATCCAAACAGACCAAAAAAAAAAAAAAAAAAAAAGCTCCTATAAACCCAATCTGGATCCTTGTCAGTTTTTCCTCAGGGTGGCTGGTTTACCAAGTGGCATTGTGGTGGACCAGCCACATCAATGCAGACATCCCCCGATACATGGCTCGGTTTCCTGAACAGCCACAGATGTCAGGCAAATAGTCTGGTGTCTTCCCTCTTTGATTAAAGAGTGAATTAAATGGTCTTCTAAATAAAATACACTCTATGCAGGGAGGAAAAGTCCTTTAAAATCAATAGCGGGGGAAGATGATTCTCTCTCTTGCAGAAGGAGGAAAAAAGCTCCAAGCAGCAGGGCCGATCACTGCTGTGAGCTACAGCACAGCAGGGATCAGGGCTGGACAACACACCGACCAGTTTTGGAGCCCCACAGGGCCAAACCCCACTGCTGCATGCGATTACACCTCACTGCAGCCGTCAGGGCTGGCTCTCCCTACTGTCGCTTCTTGCTGGCAGATCAATGATTAAATGAGTGCCTTTGGAGTGGGAACTGGGGGCAACACAAGCAGCGAGCCGGCCCTTGGTGGGCGATACGGCTGGGAGGGGAGAGGCAATTTATAACAGGCGAAGTCCCCACTGTGTGACTCAAGACGCCGATGAGCTCCTTCAACGGCTTGGAGCCGAGAATGCCCTTGCTACTGGCCAGCTCTGGAGCGCCTCCCAGGGTTCCCGTTAATTCCTGAGGGCCGGGGACGTGCCACCAGGCCGCAGGGCTCACGGAGGCCGCTCCCGTTCCGCGGCATGCCCGGGGCGGGCGGGCAGCGGGAGCGGGCAGGCGGCGGCGGGCCCGCGGCCCCTCCCGCGGCGGAGCGCGGCGCTGGAGCGGCCCCGCGCGGCTGCTCGCTCGCCTCCTGCCCCACGGCTCGGCACGGAGGCGGCGGAAACCGAGCTTAAAGACAGCCAAGGGGCATCCCGTTATCCCTGCTGAGAGCAGCGTGGCATGAAGCCTCGTCGCCACAGCTGCGGGGAAGGCACCTCGTACCTTTCCTTTGCTCCCCGCGAGGCAGCGATACCGTGACTGCCCTACAAACGTGCAATCAGGGGCCAGAATGCAGACGGCCACATCCCCCAGAGGAGCAAAACTGGGAAGCTAAAGACAAGCCAACAGGGTGCACTAGGAGCCACAAAAATAAATAGCCATTTTGAGGGTTCTGCCAACCATAGGTTACTTTGGCAGGCAAAGCTTGGCTGTGATATCCCAAACCAACCAGGCTGTGTGAGATGATGGGCGGCTAGAGGAAAGGGTCACCCATGTTGAAGTGGGAAGGGAGAGCAGCACCTTGTGGCCCTTGGACAATGCTCTTTGGACAGAGCTCTGGAGTTCACTCAGTATGTGCTGGCACTCTTTTTAACAGCCTGTTCTATGGAGTGGCATGCTCCAAACCATACCAGGGAGTAAGGCAACAAATAAACATTATAGAGAAGTTTGACTGTATCTTCAGGCAGCCATAACATTCTCCACTGATCTGTACATACCCATCTGTTGGTTTAGATGTGGTAATTGCAGGCACACATTAAAGACACTTCAGCAAAAGAGAGGGGAGTTACACATTCTGCTTAATTCATGGGAACTGAGGCCCCTTTGGGCATCTCAAACAGAGAAAGGAAGATGGTGTATTGAGAAGGTGAAAACATTAATTTCAGTGGCTGCTTTGCAATGAATTTTCAGGTGTCAGCTTCGCATTTCTGCCATCAGTATCATTTCCCCCAATTACACAGATTAGATAAATCTCTTTAAAGTTAGTGTATGACAGCAATGCAATTATTTTATATTAAGCAGGATTTCATGCTCAACAACCTACCTGTTAACTCCTGCCCTTCATATGGGAAAACACACAGTGAGCAGCATTTTACCACTCATCCCTCCAGCTCCAAGGCTGGAAGCTGCTCTGTGCAGGCTAAGCCCCACATGCAGGCTCTGTTTTGAAATGGAGCTTATCTCACAGTGCAGTTTACTACTGTCAACATGTTCCAGGCCCAAACAGGCTGATGGAGAGCAGAAAGGGGGGATTTCAACTCTTATGCTGCTTCTCCACCCTCTACTTGCAGGCTGATGTTCAGGGTCCTGCCCAAATCCCCCATGCCTGCTGTCATGCTTTGTATGAATGTTTGGGTGAGGTGGGAAAAAGAGGGGCTAATTTTGCTGTCACAATTCAGGGGAAACATGTGAGACTCAAAATCACACTGCTAAGGTTTCCTCACAACAAACCACATGTTGACCTGATGAGGAGAAAAAAAATACCATGGGAATTGTCATCACCATAGTTGCTTGGCAGATAAACACCCTCCCTCTGAAAACTGCATACACAGGACCTTGGCAAAAGAAACTAAGCACAGAATGATGCAATCCTCAGCCCTAAGAGCTCTGCAAGGTGATGCTTTTTCAAAAATGTCCCCTTGCAGCACAAGGTGGAGCAACAGGACCTCCTTCCCCAGGCATGCATTCTCCCAGGGATAAGGCAGCGCAGACCCCAGCACTGCACATTAAGGGGGCCAGCCCCAGGTGACAGAAAGCCCCTCCCAGGCAGTCCCTGCAGGTATGGATACGCACCATGGCAGTGAGGCACTGCGATTCCCGCACCGTGGCGGCAGAGCTCAGCAGGGCTGCCAGGATCAGGGTCATGCTCAGGCAGATCCCGAAGTAGAAAGCTGGAAGACAGACATGGGAGTTGTGGTCAGATGCCAGAGGCCTAGTCTGATGCTTGACCCAGAGAGGGGCCAAAAAGTGCATTTTGGGGAGCTGGCCCCAAATGACCAGGTTGCAAAACTGAAATTTTTCTGTAATTCATTCAATACCGCCGTCTGTGTGTGCTTTGCTCTGTATGTCTGGTAAGGCTGTAAGCCTCTGAGTGGTTCTCACAGCTCCAGCAGAGTGAAGCAGCTTAAAACGGTGTTGGTCCACCCAACAGACCAGAAGCTTCCAACTACTTCAGCATTCTGATAAGGATCCCCCCAAGTGGGGGGTGCTGGTGTGCAGCAGCTGTCCCACAGCCTCTATCAGGACTCCGGGCACTGTTAATCTGGTGCAACACTCACCCTCTGGTTTCCTCCTGGCTCAGGCAGGATCTCACAGCCAGTACCCTGGAGTGGGGCTCAGGGACCACAGCGCTGCAAAGGGCTTTGCTAGCCTAACCACACAGAGGTAATGCCTGTAAACAAGGCAAGTGGAAGCATTGCTGGCGATGGGTGGCTGGGATGGGAGAGCCTGCAAGGCTGCAGTCAGTGGCAATATGTATGTGTAGGAACAGGGAAGGAGTATACCTTAGCCTTGGACCAACACAGTTTTTACACCTGCCTTGTTAAACTGAAATCAAGAACTGGATCTTGAGAGGGTATGAGCACGTTTAAGACCAGAGTGCAGCTCGGGAGAAGCAGCAGATGCAAGTGCAGCAGTGGTGAGCAGGGTATTGTAGTATCTGGGCTATCTTTGCTCTAGCCTTGTACCTGAGACTCAGTTTATACTTCTCCCTTGTGAAAGCGAAAATACCGCACATTTCCTTAGAAAAGCTTGAGGTGCTGCTGCCGCCATGCATTTCTCCTCCCAGCCTCAATTTTCTATGTTCTGCTTCAACTCCTGTAGTTCCTCTCCTTGTTCTTCCAGTCTCCTGCCAGCCCTAGTGCACTTTTAGTGACTGAGGAGCTCCTCCTGATCTCTTACCACAGCACAGGGTCAGAGAATAGAGGAACAGGTGCAAACACAGAAGCACCTCAACACCCCATGCACACACAGCATCCTTTGGTTACAGGCATGCAGGTCTGATATGGGGAAAGAAAGTGCCTGTGGGACTGTGTTAGTCCTAATGCATCCTCCAAAACCCACCTCCTTCCTCTTGAGATACCCCTGAATTTTCTTCTATAGCTTTAAGGAATTTTGCAGCACTGGGTATCACCAAAGGTCTCACTGTGATGTGACCACAACATACCTGTGTGGTGGATGACCTTGTAGGTGTTGCTGTCCAGGGAGACATTGCTAATGAGGGTGAAACGGAGCCCATAGTGGGTGACTGTGCTCAGCGTGGCAATGGAGAGCCCCAGCAGCTGGAAAAGAAGGGTTTCAGGAAGGGATTTACAAGGCAACAGCTCTTGCTGGGTGCACACAAAGGTTTGAGGTGTATCTGGATACTCCTGAGCCCCATGCAAATGCAGACAGCCTCATCATCCAGAGACCACCACATGTACCCCAAAATGCACATAAAAGGACAAACCCCAGACACTTAAAAATACTAAAGCTGTTTTTCTCTCTTGCATAATGAGTGCATGTAACATTGTGCAGCCCACAATCTCTTGGCCAGTGCCTATGGATTAAATTCCCATCATATGAAGAAAACTGAGAGGATTGATGTTCTTGCAGCACACCTGTGCAGTGCCACACTACTCTGCAGACTGTGCATGTGTGGCTGTGAGGGCTGCCAGCTACAAGAGGGGTTTTGAGCAGGGGTCAAGTTCTCTGCTCTGCTCTTTGCAATGCCAGTCTCACTGCCTGCTGTTGGCTCTGTTTCCTATGGCAGAGCACAGAGATCTGAGTCCTGTACTACTCTAAGTTGTCTGTGGTGGTTTCTGTCTCTGCAAGGTATTGTCTGTTTCTGTCCCAGCCCTGAGAGCACCTGTATGCCTAAGGCATGCGGTAACTACTTGCATGTCCATACCTCTCCAGGTGATGGAGAGGGAACATTTCTGATGGCACCTGGCTCTATAGGTGGGCTCCTTTCAGCATGACTGGTGGCAGAGCTGGGACAAAGGCACCAGCAGCAAAATGAACTCCAAATCTAGTGCAATGAGCCCGGAAAACACAAAATGTAAGGCTACTCCTAGCTCTGAAGATAAGGCTTCATCATTTTGTGCCTTTACAATACAGAAACATGAGGGAGCTATACCTGTGTCAAATGTGACAATGTGATCTCAACATAATCCTCACTGCGTGACATTTTCTAATAGCTTTTGCTGGAGGCTTACAGTTTCAGAGACTAAATCCATTCAAAACGTAGCATTTTGTCTAGCCTAATTTGTGGCACCTTCTGATCATTCAGACTGTGCATTACTGCGTATCTTGACCCACACCCTGCAAAATATTAAGTGCAACACCAGTTAGCTCAGATTTCTGAGAAACACCAGTCTAAAATCCTCCCAACAGCGAGAGTGTGATTCTAACCATTCAGAGCAGCTGTGCCTTAATGTCTCCTCTAAACATGCTTAGTACCAATCCTCCTTTCATTTCCTCCAAGTGGCATTTTCTGTTATTTGGAAGAGAGAACCACCCTACAGCCACTGTAGTCTTGGAATGTTGAAATTTGGAAAAACTACAAACTTCATTTGTGGCCCAAAGTAAGGTATTACCTTTTAATAACCCTTAACAAGTCACCAATCCTCTTTGAACTAAATACAGATTATTGTTATTACTGCTATTATTATTATTTTTTTATGCTGGCAAGTTTTGATGAAGTGAAAAGGCAACAAGAACACACAAGTAAAAGTATCCATAAGACGTGTTCTCCAGGTTCTACCATTTCCCATCAGCTCTAACAGCAGATGTCCAGAAACTCCCCTTGAATTTGCTTCAAAAGCTGATAAAGAGTCCCTGGAATTGCTTTCGCTTTGCAGTGCTGATCCACATGTCTCTCACACACTTCCACCAAAGACTTGTGGTTTCATATCCTCACTGATCCCACCTGCAGTCGACCACCCTCCCAGCAGCAAGCATGACTGCTGCAGGTCCATCCTCTCTCTTTTACTCCAAAGAGACAGGATCAAATATCTTTTTTGCTCCCGCCCATTCTGCCAGCAGCGACCTTTTCTTTCTCCTTGGAGGAAGCTGCTGAGTTGTGAAAGAGCTGCAGTGGTGTGACAGCCTTGAGAAACCAGAAGTCTATCAGAGGAGGGGGGGATGCTGGTGGCCAGCGATAACCGCCCATGGTGCAATGATAACTCAGGCAGTTGGCTGTGCTTGCCCTCCACCCGCCAAAAACAGAACGTGGGAAAACCATCCCCTCAGAGTGGGGATGGGAAAGGCAACAGCTCACCTCGGTTCTGCAGAGATCCCCCCAAACCTGCCTGCTCACCATGACACAGAGGCTGGTCACCAGCAGCTGGCACTTGGTGGTCCTCATCCCACACCTCAGTTCCATGGCAGCTTGTCCCCAGAGAGAGCTGGCGGTTGGTCCCTCCAGCTCTTGATAAAGCCTGGGTTTCCACCAAATGGAGGCATGGCCACAGTGGGGCCTCTCAGGAAGTGGAGTCCCCACCACGTGCTGATGCACCTCCTCCTGCCTGATTATTAAATCCTCTTTAGGGCAGTCACCTTCTGCACAGGCCCTCAGTTAGCTGCTGTCAGCTCCCACACAGCCAGCTGGGGAAGAAGGAAAGGCATACAGAAAAACAACCTTTCATGGAGTTTGGAGCAAAGGTCCTTTAAAAAAGAATTAAACTGATTAGTCAAGAGTCAGGGTCAAAATATCCCAATTTTGACTTTCACTGGGATGCAGTTTTGCTTAATGAACATTGTCCATAACATTTTTTTCATAATATATATAAATAATATTTTGTAAAAACATCTAGTAAAACACTGTTTAAAAAAAAAAACCTATTTTTTAAAGAAGATATTAAACCCCTCCCCCCCAAACAGATCTATGTAAGAGTCTTCTCTCCCCATGTAAAAGCACCACATGGCAATAACCTTTGGCTGAGCTTCTATTAGAACTTGCATTTGCAGATAAGGGAAAAAACACATTTGGTAGTATTTTATGCAGGAAAATGGTCATATAACCTGCTCAGGAGACCCTCACTGTCCATGGACATTTTAACTCTTCCTTTCCCCTCTCCTAGCACTGAAGACTCCATGGACCTGTGGCTGCAGAAGACTCAGGTGATTTCTTCAAAACCAGCTGTCTCCTGAATGAATATTTCTTAAAAGTAAATTGCAAATAAGTCTCAAGAAGGATCTGGCCAAAGTGAGCCTGAATGACTGAGTGCCTTAATTATCCTTACTTTTGGAACTAGACTGATGGAGAACAGGTGAATAATTGCACTCCTGTCAGGTGGCAAAGGGAGTGAAAAAGTAAAACAATCCCACAACAGTAACTGCAGTAACAGGAAGATGACAAAGCAGGTGGAGGAGAGGAGTGAAAAAAGGAAGGAAGATGCATTTTGTAAAGCAAAGAGAAGAGAAAGCAAGTTGCACAAAGCCGTGAGCACGGGAAAAAGCATATTATGATTTTCTGACTACATCACTAGCTTTCTTGCAAGCTTTCTTGCAGATCATCTTGGTCGCAGCCTCCCCAACACCAGTGAGAGCTGCCACAGCCAGTGCCAAAACCAGGTATTCCCATGGCCCATGGGTCCCTGCCCTGATGTCCAGGAGAAGGCACTAAGGTACCTATGTGCAGACAGAGACCGTCCTCCCCTGGCCACCAGCTGGAGACCATCTGAGGAAAACCAATGGACAGACAGCAGGGCAGGAGGGCACTGGGGAGAGGACAACAGGCTGGTGAGGCAGCTAATGCCAAGCCACCAACATTTAGGAGCTAGACCCCTGGGAACAGACCCGGTGTGGAAAATGCCTTATAAGACACTGTCAGAGTTAGGATTGCGTCAGAATTCAGAACTGTGGGCACCCATCACTTCTTCTGGCACTAGACGACAAATGGGGGTGTTGTCACCTGCATTTTCAAGAGGAAGGATCCCTGGTACAAAAATAACAGAACTGACCCACCAGTGGAGTTACAGGTTAAATCTGGAAGGGCTGCAAGAAAGTACGAGCACAGCTCTGTGTGTAACAAGCCACGTCAGCCCAGCCAGGAGCGACAGTCACCGTGTCACCTGCCCTGAGCACACCCAGATCCTGTTTCACAGCGGCGGACAGGGAAACAAAACATGGAGTCCGTCTCCGTTTCCCCCTGGATCCCACTTCCTTCCCCAGTCCTAAACACCTGCCACCGCAGAGACCTGTGCGAAGCCAAGTCTCACACTAGAGGTCCCCACAGGCCAGCGGAACCCTTTCCCGAAGGGCGAGATAATCGACGTGGGCTTTCTGAAGGGCATTCCCCTCCCCAGTTCCATGCAGTTCCTGCAGAAACCTCGCACCTCACCTCATGTCCACCTGAGAGGTTCCGAAATTGTCATCTACACTCCTTGCAAGGGCTGCTAGTTTTCCCACAAAAGATGTCCTGCCTCCTTTTCTCTCCAGCCATAAAAACGGGTACTCTCACAGAGCTCTGAAAACAGGTCTGTAACTTCAAAGTCCTGTGTTTAAACAGCTCCTTCCTCTGTTTTGGTTGAAAATTACTATTCCTGAATAGCTTGACCATGTCTTCTGATGCTTCTCCCACCTGCAGTGCTTGGTGTCTGCCTTTGTGCCCACCCTCCACTAACTGCTCTGCCTGCTGGGCTAAGGGGTGGAGGGATTTTCTGCTGTTTCTTTTTCCTCTCTCTTACCCTCTATCCCATACAGGTATGCCTTGAAAGTTTCCTCTTGGGGGCACAGCATATGTGGATTTCTAACATCACAAAAAATAACAACAGCAAAAAGAGTTGCTGCCTCACATTCACAAAAGCCAAAAGGAAAGTCACTCCCTCACCCAAAAGAAAGCAGGAGCATCAGTGCACATTTGGCACATGGAAGGGCACTGCTGAAGGGAGAACAGGGGACTCTGTGTGCTCATCCTACCTGTGCCCATCAACAAGGCAATCTGTGCAATACTTCACTTTCTATGGGATTAAACTTCCTCTCGGTGCCCAGTTGTTGGCACACACCTGCCTCAGCAGGCACACACGTACCTCTCTGCCCAGAGAGGTGAGAAGCAGGGTGTCCCCTCAACTTCATCCCAGTGGGAAGAGAGGTAGGGCTGGTGGCATGCCAGGGAACCACCCTCACAGCCAGCATGCAGGCTGGATGTCAGCATGGCTTTTCCAGCAAGACTCAGCCTGCCGCCCACCCTGGCAGGTTTCATCGATTGATTCTCTTTGCAAGAACCCAACTTATCACTCCCAAAAGCAGTGCAAAAAGCACAGGTGACCACAGCTCCTGTCTGATAACCTTATCTCTGGTTATCAGCTGGAGCGTGGAAAGATAGTAGTGAGTCTGAAAATACCCCAGGGAGCACAGGTGCTCTCTTTCTAGCCTTGTGGCAGCCTGCAGATTTCTGTTACAAAAAACCTCATCCCCAGCTGCATGGGTCTCAGAGGGATGTTGCCATCTCATCCAGAAGGGAAGGGAACAAAGCCAGATCATATTTTTTTTCAAAGCCATAAACTCCCAACCCTCTTCTGAGCTGGAGGGAAATGATGCCCACTCTGTCAGAGAGATGTTCTGAAAGAGCTGGGAATTTCATGTGTCAATGCTTCATGGGATGAACTTGGGACACTAAACACAAATGGAGAAGAAGAGGCTGAATTCGTACTGATGCTTTCTTGACATCCACTCTGGCTCTCACTCCATCAAGTGCAGTCACCAGTGATGGAACAGCAGCACCCCAGTCTCAGCTGCTTGAACTCTGTCAATGCAGCAGGGAAGAGAAACTTCCCCCTTCGCTTTGGGGCACTGCTATTCATCCTGAGAAAGGATGGGCTGGAAGCAAGAAGAAGGATGTCACCCAGGAGCCAAAACTACACCCATCATCCAGGCAGGACACACCTGTGCAGGTCTCTGCTGCCTCTCAGAAGCCTCCTCCTTTTCCAGCCCACAGCACCACTGGGGAAAACACCTCTCCTCCACAGCAGAAAGCAGCTCCAAATGTGTCAGATTTACAAGTGTCAGTGGCTCAGCCCATTCGGTCCCTCAGCTACTGCCCGTAACACGGCTGGGTTCACCCTAAAGCTCGCTCGTAAATAAAACATGTCCATATCAAACCGCACCGCAGCCGTAGGGATGATGGGAGGCCAGGCAGACCTCACAGCCTGCCTCTGCCTTCCCGGGCACATCACAAGGATGCATTGTAAAGGCTGCTTAGCATTCATATAGCACATACACACAATCAAAGCTAAAAATCAACTTTTAAACCCGGGGCCATCTCTTTTCAAGAAAGGAAAGAGAGGAGGAAAGGGGGGGGTGCTGGGCTTTGCCAAGCTTCAGATGCACCATACAACTCCACTGTGAATAGAAACAAGGCTGGCTGGAGACTGCCTTGGAAGACACAAAACCAGAGAGAAATCATAATATTTCCAAAGCACTTCTTTACTTATTATTTTCAAAATGTGTCTCAGAAATTCTCTAGTGATTCCAAGGCAATTTGAAATTATTATAGGTGAGCAAATAAAGTGTCAGAAGAGTTATTAAAAATAGTTCATCAAGCCAGAGAAAGATTACATTGGAAAAGAGCATAAGCTGGAGACAGGGAGCTCCCTTCAAAGAATAAACTTAAATGAACTTCTTTCTCCACTGAAAGAACCGTGCTCGTAGCTCTAAAGCACAGTGCTCTGGTCAAGTTAAATTAATTTTTCTTTTTCACATGCTATCTAATTGCAAACGATAACTGCCCAGGAGCCAGCTGTGCAGGTGACAGACCTGAAGAGACAATGCGAGCCCTGCCCCGTGTAGCCCTGCTCCTGGCAGAACCAGAGTGAGCACAGCCCAGCCTGCTAAATGGGCTCACCAAGAACAGGGCTGCTTAACTGCCTATCATCCTTTATTTCTCACATTCACCCTCTCAAGCTTTATTGCAACTGGACCTCCATTGCTTTCCACTGAAGTCCTCAAAGTTTTGGTAAAATACCCTAAAAATCTCATGTCAGCTGGCTGTAATGCATGGGTGGCACCAGGACTGAGCCAGCACCCCACCTGCAGCCTTGCTGCTGACACATGTGCCAAGCCAGGGGCAGCACTTTGCTCTCACCTTTGGCAGGTGCAAGAACTAACATGTAGTGTAGAGGCCCTTTCCAGGGGCCTTTTCCCTTCTCCCTGAGCATCGTTTGGCCACCTTACAGCACACTGGCTGAAGCTACATGGAGCTAAAAGATGTCCACACCAACCATGCAGTTAGCATTTTGCCTTACCTGCTCCAGGAGAGGAGAATTTCTTCTCCCCACTATCTGGGGATGGGTAGCACATTGCTGGATGCTCTCTCCTCAGATTATGATCAGGAAGTTGATTGTGAACACAGACAGTGTTTAATGATGTCTTGTTCTACGGGATCCTTACATAGTCATTAACTTTATAAAGAGATTTCAAAGGAGATTGCATTTTCTGAGTACAAGATGTACCTACCCACCTACCTTCCTGCAGACTGTTGGGAAGCCAGCTGCACTGCTAGGAAAGCATAAGCACTTGCTGTGTGTTGTGCTCAGACCCAGATCCGATGGCCACATCTGGCTGGAAACATCAGCAGCCATGAAGCCAATTTGGACAAATCAAGCCCATCCCTGAGCTAAGTGTAGAATCTCTGTGGCAGAAGGCTGCATGCTCTCCCTTGAGACTGGGTTTACTGGTGTGCGTTATTAATGAAAAAAATTCCCTGTAGCTATTTTTGTATGATAAAAATCCAGTTATTACTCTTGAGTGTGGCACTTCAATACAGGAGGCTTTCTCTTGAAAAGTTTCAAGGGCAGTAGCTTCCCCTTTCCTGTGTGAAAGCTTTTCAGCAGAAATTAGAGACGAGGTAATAAAAGAACATCATTATTACTCCACTGAAGTCATGCTCCTAAGCTACGTCCGCCAGCGAGCACAAGGGAAGCCCCTTGCTCCAGCCAGGGCACTTCTGCAGATGCTGGAGACAAGTGCATGACATGGCCTGAGCCGAGCAAGCAACCTGTGCACTCCCAACAATGCACAGGCAGCTCCCCTGCACTGCTGGGAATCCACCAGGAAAAACGCTCCTGCCTGCGCTGCATGCCATGAGCTGCTCCTCCCGGGTCAAGTCCTTCAGAGAAGCTGTAGGGCCGCTCATTGCTTTGCCCCCAGGTCTACAGCACAGCCAAGAATGTCTCAGAATTTGGTGCTAAGGCTCCTGAGTGTTTGACTACCAGAAAATCAAAGCGCTCACAGGATCCTTACTGTCAAGAATTTCAGCTCGGCTGCCTGTGACACTGCAGTGGGGTTAGTTCCTTCAAGCCACTGCCATTGCAACCAATCCCCAGGGAAAATATTTCTCTTTCAACATAACGGAGCCTTGCTGCTCCCTAAATACCCCACACAGGTACAAAAAAAGATCCCTCTGTGTTACATCAAGGAATCATGGATAGCTCTTTGAACTACCATTTTTGGCTTAGATACACTTGAGCACCAGCAGCAGCGTGGTTCAGGCAGCCAGGGGAATACAGATCCTTTGATATCCAAATCGTGCTGCAGAGTCTTGCTGGCACCTGTCCATGTGATGACACATCCCCACCACCAAGCTGGTCTCAAAGACACCAGCTTGGAGCATTTTCCTGACATTGGGTTATGTTCGCCCCTAAAAAGTGAAGCCCCGTAACTGAACTGCCTCACACCATTGGATTTTTTTCTTCTTCTTTTTTTTTTTTTTTAAAGGCGAGGTAGGAGCAAAGCCCTGAAGACAGCACGTCCTGAAGCTGTGCTGAAGCTGAGAGTGAACACAGCCCCAGGGCAGTGGGTTCATGTAGCTACCCCTCCATCCATCTTGTTTATTTAGCAAAACACCATGCAAGTTATTTCTTCCCACAAGTTCCCAGGACTGCAAGGGGAAGCTCCTTTGTCCTCCCAGCTATCAGAATGCACCTTACCCAGCTGCTCTTCCCACTGGAGCTGGAAGAAAGGTTTGCTTGATGGAGAGCCAAGGAGGATTGCTTGGCATGGCAGAGGGAAGCGGGGCTGCAACCCCCAAGCTACAAGAGCTTTTCATTTTCCTTCTTGCCTCCATGCCTTTATCCTTGAAACTCCCATTGAAGCCCAAAAAGCTGGTCTGTGGAGAACAGCATTGGCAAGACGACCCACGCTATTACTGCAAATATTTGTTATTATGCATTTTTGGCGGGTGTACCAAAGCAGAGCCGCGGTGTGTCCCGTCTCTCTGTCAGGCAAGCACCGACCGGCGGCCAGGTGCGGGCATTCCGCGCTCCGCAGGGAAAGCCCTGGCAGCAGCCGCGCTGCCGGGCCACCGCCTTCCGCGCAGCGGCACCGGCGGGGTGCCCGGTGTGGGCAGGGGCCGGGCTGGTGGCACACCTGAAGGGACAGGACCCGGGGCCTCCGCCTCACCTGGGGCAGCGGGGACTGCCGGCTGCTCCGGAGTGCCCGCCGTGAGGTGTGGGGGAGGCGGGGCGAGAGTGCGGCCCCACCCTCGAGTAATAATAAAAAACTAAATTAAAATAAAATGTTAAAAACTGCCAGGGCAGGGGCGGTGATTTGAGGGGAGGGTTGCAGCAGGGCCGCGGACGGCGGTGTGTGTGTGTGTGTGTGTGTGTGTGTGTGTGTGTGTGTGTGTGTGTGTGTGTGTGTGTGTGTGTGTGTGTGTGTGTGTGTGTGTGTGTGTGTGTGTGTGTGTGTGTGTGTGTGTGTGCGGGGGCCCGCGAGCGGCGGCGGCGGCGGCGGCGGCGCGTTGATAAGGGGCCGGCCGGCAGCGGGACGCGCCGCAGAGGCGCGGAGCGGCGGCGGGAGAGCACGGGCATGGGGGTGAACTGCCCCGCGCTGCCCACCCCCGCCTCCTTTGTCTCGCTTTAAATTTAGTTTTGAATTTTTTTTTTTTTTTGGGGGGGAAGGGAAAAAACCCCCGAGCTGCTGCGCTGCAAGCGCCGCCTGGCCTTCGCCGCCCTGCCGGGCACCGGGGCGGCGGCGGCGGCCGCCGTGGCCCGTCGGAACGAGCGGGAGCGCAACCGCGTGCGGCTCGTCAACCTGGGCTTCGCCGCCCTCCGCCAGCACGTCCCGCACGGCGCCGCCAGCAAGAAGATGAGCAAGGTGGAGACCCTCCGCTCCGCCGTCGAGTACATCCGCGCCCTGCAGCGGCTCCTCGACGAGCACGACGCCGCCGCCTCTTTCCCCGACGGCCGCGGGCGGGTGGCCGTCGGGGAAGTTGGCGGCGGCGGCGGCTACTCCTCCGCTTCTCCCTCCTTCGCCTCCTCCGCGCCCGGCTCGCCGTGCTCCTCCGAGGAGAGCGGCTACGACGCGGCGCTCAGCCCCGAGGAGCGGGAGCTGCTGGACTTCACCAGCTGGCTGGGGAGCTACTGACGCGGCGGGAGGTGAGGGGCAGCGGAGGGACGGGGCCCCGCTTCCTCCCCCGGCGCTCGGGGCAGCGCGGCACGAACCCACCGGGGCTCTCCTCACGTCTCTCCGCAGCCGCGCTCAGCCCGCAGCACATCGGCGCCCGCGGTCTCGGCGGCAGCATCATCCCCCGAAAGTACCGACCTCCACCCCGGCCTGGCCCCGCTGCCTGCTTTTCTCGCCGGGTTCAGCCGTCGTCTTCTGGTTGTGGAAAGTGCAATGGGGTAGTTGACTGCGGGGTCCCGCTCCTTGCGCGGCGACAGCGGCTCCGCCTGCCCGCCGGGAGCTGCCGACCCACGGAGAGGATGCCCGAGCGAAGCTGCTTTCCCCCGCCGCTGCTGTCTGGTGTTGCTTTGGAGGGGTGGAAAAGGGAAAAAAAAAAAAAAAAAAAGGACATTAGCAACACTTGATGCTTCCTTATTTCTGGAGGGGGAGGGAATTTTTTATCATGTCAGATTCTATTTTATATGTAACTTGAACTGCCTATAGGGACACTGGTGTATGAAGACTTATTTTTGTACAACAAACCTTAGAGAAAAGGGATGAGGTGGTTCTATTTTTAGCATGTCCTATCCACTTGTTCTTGAACACTACCAGCTGGAATGTTTTGGGAACATACCCGTTATAGATGCAAAGATGTTTGTTTGGGGTTTTTTTTTAATTATTCTCTCCAAACACTTTGGTAGAAGACTGTAAACTTATGTTGTGTTTTAACGTGGTGTCTGAGTTTGCCTGGTGTGAAGGTCCACCTCTCTGAAAACTGAAGTTTTAAAAAAAAAATGTATTGAAGGCATTTTTGTATGCACTTGCTAGGATTTCTTATGTTGTACATATGCAGTTTTTAAGAGAGTATCATATTTTATGTAAATTGACTTTATAAATAAAAATCTATTTATAAATGGCTTCCGGGCTGTAAGATGTGTGTATTTGCCAGAATTGCCCAAAGTGACTTAACTGTGGCCTGAAGGGGTGGGAGAGGGGAGTAAGGAGCAGTACAGCAGAGAGGCAGTTCTCCCTGGACCAGGTTTCATGTGCAGAAGGGAATAAGGAGCAGCATAGCATAATCTCCAGGCTTACTTTTTTCCCCCCACTCAAGTTTTATAAATTCAGCGTTTGGAGCAGGTCCTGCTGGGGAGATGCAGATGTGCGTAGGTTCGGTGCTGTTAACCCCTGTCCTGAACATGCAGAAAGCGCAGCTGCAGGAGGCTGTGTTGCCCCTGCCTGGGCTGCTGGGAGACTCATGGGAAGGTAAAGAGGAAGCGGGTATCTGAAGTTTGTTTGTCCTGGCAGCAGCTCTCAGGAGGTGGGTTGGGGTGCCTTTATTCAGGGGAGCAGCACCTCTGAGAACTGTGTTGTCCTTTAAAAACCATCCATAACCACAGTGTCCCACCTTGTCCTACTCTAACTTGAGCTGCATGTTCAGAGTCTTTATCTATTGGGGACATGCAGATGTGCGTAGGAGACAAGGCAGGTTCGGTGCTGTTAACCCCTGTCCTGAACATGCAGAAAGCGCAGCTGCAGGAGGCTGTGTTGCCCCTGCCTGGGCTGCTGGGAGACTCATGGGAAGGTAAAGAGGAAGCGGGTATCTGAAGTTTGTTTGTCCTGGCAGCAGCTCTCAGGAGGTGGGTTGGGGTGCCTTTATTCAGGGGAGCAGCACCTCTGAGAACTGTGTTGTCCTTTAAAAACCATCCATAACCACAGTGTCCCACCTTGTCCTACTCTAACTTGAGCTGCATGTTCAGAGTCTTTATCTAAAGACAATAAGCAAATGTGAATCACTCCTTGGAAACTACAGGCAGACTCATAAGCTCTGTCCATTACTTTTGGGCTCATACTGAAGACCTGCTTCAGGGGAGGTGAGCCAGAGGTAAAAACTGTGTGGGTAAGAATGCTGTGAAATAAAACACAGGGCTGATGGCATGAAAAACTATGGCAGAGACTATTAATTCCCTTAGAGAGCTCTAGTGAATGTTAGGAGTTGAATGGAGCAAAATGGGCTGGCATGTAGAATATGCTGAATGAACACAAAGCAGAAATGGTTATTAAAATTGACCTACTTTACAGGGACCCTGTGTATAATCTCTGCTGCCTTAGTACTGGGAAGGTAAAATTTTTCAGGAGTGTCACTCGGCAATTCCAGATTCAGTAATTACAGTGGATGCTCTGTAGTCCAGATCTGTACGAGTATTCCACATACATGATTCCATTTGAAGAAGGGGAAAAAAAACTCCAAAAAAGCCATGGGAAAGTGAAGGCTCTAAGAGCAAGCAGCATTTAGGAGCCTGCAATCAAGAGCAATAGCTGTTGAACTGTGCTTCAAGTTCTTTCCCTAATAAAAGTTGCTTTAATAAACAGTTCCTTTGAAAGGCACAGGGAATTCAAGTGCTCTAATAAATGTCTTGCAAAGGTTTTATACTCTTTGTGGCTCTTCAACAGTATCCCAGGTAGGAGCAAGAGCTGTGAGCCGGCCTGGGCTGTGCTTGGCAGCAACAGGGAGGGCTGGTGGAAGGGGGAGTAACGTGGTACCTTTCCCCAGAGACAGTTTAATGGCTTCATCCTCACAGGTGATCTCCAAAAAATTAGCCAAACATAAACTCATATAGAATCCCATATATTTATTCTCAGCCTAAACCAACATCACGTCATCTTTTCCAAGCAGTTTAGACATCGGGACTGCTGCATTGGTCTGCACAAGTGTCCCATTATTGCAGAATGCATTTGTTTAAAGCAGCTTACTACTGCTGGGCAGGGTGTTTGTTTTCCTTCCTTAGGTGCACTGATCATTTTAGTATTTCCAAAAGCAGTATTTAGCTCTCAGTCAAGTAACCCCCAGCATTGTTACAATGTTCATCTGATCACCCAAGATACCATTGCAGCAACTTTGAAGCAGCATCAACTGTAACACTATTGGCAAGAAATCAGCTGTAAGCAATTTTCACTTAAGCAATACTAATATTAGGGGGGAAAAGAGCTTAGTCAGCATCACAAATTACCTCAATGCTGTAAGTCAGAGCTAGAGGGAAATCAGGAAGGTACAATTTTATTTTAAAAACCCCACAGTGGTCATGAGTCTTCCAAACAGTTGAGGAGGAAGAAGATGCAAGAAAAAGGAGGTATGTGTGCTTTAGAAACACGGGATGGACAGAGGGACTCCTCTCCCCAGCCATGGTCATGGTGACAGATTCTCAAATCAAACTGCTGAAGAGAGCTCTGCTGCACCAGAGAGAAGAGCACTGAATCACTGTGCCCTTTAAAGGAAGCTTTAGGGAGGATGCAAGGTAGGTTCTGTGGCAGTTGCAGCGGGTACCTTCAGCCAGCCCAGCGCACTCATCTTCAGCACCACCTGAAGCTTGGACCTCGTTGAGAAGACTACTGACCCTAAAAACTCACCCCTAGAACTCTACTCCATTTATGCAAAATACCTACCAGTTCAAAGACTTGGAGATGAAAGCCCTCTGACCATGAGAGTCACCTGTCAGCAGACAGAGTAACAGCAGACCTGTCTCTCAGCCAGGTACTTCCCCTGCTTGGAGGAGCCAGCTACACTTGATGATGGGACCCTCAGTGTCTGGGTTAGCTGCCATCAACCAGGAGCTCCCCTGAGGGATTCCAGAAAGCCTGGGTGCCTGCCTAAACTGCTACAAGAAACGCTTGTGGCAGGGATGGGGAATGCCTCTGATGAGAACATAATTTCTCTTTAGATGTACAACTAGAAACTCAGTGCCTAAAATGGAAACCCCAGCTCCCAGCAAGACAAAAACCCAGCCCTAAGGAACAGGGCTGCAGGAGAATCATTTAGTCAGATTCAGGCAGAAGAAGAAGGTTTGCTGAGGAATTCTGAGAATTAAGGAAAAAAAAAAAAAAAATCAGGCAGAAGAAGATTTGCTGAGGAATTCTGAGAATTAAGAAAAAAAAAAAAAAAGCTGGGGGCTCCAGGGGGTACACACTTGTCAATGTACAGATACAAAGCACACTTCTGTAAACCTTCCACATCTCCATCCACTGATGGGTTCCCATTTTCCCGAGCAGCATTTCACAGGCCACAGACATGGCAAATAAAGCAGAAACAAGTTGCGGGATGGTGTCAAGATTAGCTGTCCCCCATCCCCACACAGAAAGAACCCTTCCACTTTCAACCACAGTCCCCTCCTTGGCATTCTTTTGTTATTTGGACTGAAGATTTTCTTGTTACCCAAAGCACTTAAAGCCTAGTATATGGTAAAAACAATCCTGTGCATTATGGCCTGGTGGTGTTTAAAGGATGATGCTGTCCGTCATGGGCAACCTCAGCTTCAGTTCCGTGGCTCCTTCCAAATTTCTCCACATACTACTGAAAATAATTTTGAAGGAAGGGCCTGTGCAGCCTGCTGGAAGGCTTGTACACCACAGGAAGACCTGGGAAGCAGGCAGGAGGACGGCCTCCAGCATCCCCATGACAGAATGGCATTGCTGGTCCTCCTTGAAGGGCGAGTGGCTTCAGCAGAGCCCAGCACCACAGAAAAGAGAACATTTGGAGATAAGAGTCATGGGGAAAAGGGCTCTCTCCTGCTCCTACCACCACAAGTTATCACCAGTAAATACCCTCTTTGCCACAGATCATTGTGCAGAAAACAGCCCACGATTGGTTTCAATGTAAAACAACTCAATTTACACTAACACCTCATAAAGATCTTGTTAGAGACAGCAGACAGCGAGGGAGCTCCTGCGAATCAGCTTGTTGCTGCCTCCCCTCCCATCCGTGAGAAGCAGCTGCCAAGAAAAGACTTGTCCTGCCAGCCTTTGGTCTGAGTTCCGAGGCTTTTCGGCTGCCACGGTTTGTGGGCAGACGGCTGTGTGCCGAGACTAGTCCAGAGGTCATTTCACTCTTTTCATGCAGGTCACAGAATAGCTGGCTAACAGCAAAAATTTTCAGGCATTTCTTATCTGGATTGGATGCTGGCCAGGAGCCTGGGAGGGTGCATAGCTAG